GGGCAAGATTGGGAATAAAGGAGTAGAAAATAGTGGGATACCCTTGAGGGGAAGGATCAGGAAGGGTATTACCACTGTCAGTTAAAAGGGCAGCTCCCCTTCAGCAGGACTTTTTTTCTGGGAAAATGAGGCAAGGCACCATATAATTCTGGGAAATGCCAACCAGGAAAAGAAGGTACCAATTGGCTGAGCAGGTGGTTATCTTGCCTACAGCTAGGTGGGCGCCTCTAGTTAGGATGGCTCTGCCAGGAACAGGAGGGGGAGTCCTGAGGAACAGCTGGGCTGGGTAGAGATGTGCAGTTTAGGCTGAGTACTCACCGTGTTCCCAAGGTTTCGAAGACCAGCCAGACCCTGGGTGCTCTTGGAGGTCTGCAAAAAAAGAAAAAATAAATAATGCATGAAACATTAGGCAGAAGCCTAGTCAGCTATGCAGGCAGGGCCTGTGCTAGGTCCATAGCCCCATTCTGATAGGGGCCTTGCACTTCCCTAAGCCATGAGCACCAGGCCACAGATATTATTTTCATCAGGCTCTCTTTACTTCCCAGGTCTGTGCTCCTTGTGGAAAAAAGGGGTAAAGAATGCCTTTCCAACAGAGAAACAAAAGTGCTCTTCAGAATTTTGCTTTTTTTTTTTTGTCAAAAACTATTTTATTTAATTATTTTTCACCTTTTCACTTATCTTTACTACTTTTCTCCTCTACAGCAGGCAAGGGCTAGCTGTTAAGGCTGGGAAATAGGAATTAGGACATTTGTGTTTCCCTCTACTCCTGGCTATGGGAGACTGCAAGTCAAAAAATTGGGGTTTTCTTCATGGCTCTGACTTATAGGATCATAGGATTTTAGAGCTGGAAGGGATCTCTGAGATCATCTAGTCCAACCCCCTCAATTTACAGATGACGAAAATGAAGCCCAGAGAAGTTAAGTGACTTGCCCAAGGTGAACAATTCCTAATTTTACCATGGTTGCCCAATATACAAAGTGGGAACAACTACAATGGCCACTTCAAAGAGGGCTTGAAAAATTTAATGAAATAAACCATAAACCATGTTTTCAGATCTTCAGCTGAGAGAAGCTCAAGTCTCTGCCAGTCCAAAATGCCATTGACAGGTGGAATTCCTTCCTGCTTCGCTCAACTCCCAAGAGCTGATGAATTAAGAACTAGGAGAATCTTCCTTTCCTGGCTCCATGGCTTGGGTTCTGACATCCTGAGAGGCTACTGGCTGGGAATCCTAGTGATGGCAAATTAGGGTGATTTGATATCACTCAGGTGGCTAAGCAGAGATAAAAGTCTGGCTGAAGGGTGCTATTCTTACTCACATCCCTATAATGGGGGCTGGTGAGAAGTGATGCAGGTAGAACAGGTGCTCAGGCAGGAAGTCAGGATGCCCATTGTCAAGGCCCCTTTACTAATCCAAGTAGGCAGAAAGTCTAAAGTGTCAAAAAGGGTTAAAATAGTATCTTCAAGATGTTTGCCACCTCTGCTTCTAGGGAGATGGTCCAGGATCAGACAGCTTCAGAGCTGTACTGGCTGGGGCTTGTATGGGGCCAGCTCAACCCTCATCAGAACAGGAGCTTGAAATAGCTCGGCTAAAATTACTCCTGCTATACACTGACAGCCTACATAGTTGTCAGAGGCTCACTACCCCGAGAGAAGTGGTTAGGGAAAAGAGAGCTGGGTAGATATGGGGCCTTCTTTTAAATGTTGCTTTGTTGAACTCATAACTAAGTTTTAAGATCTCCCTCAGTTACAAAGCTGAATCCCAGCATGTGAAGTCAGATTGTACCACTGAAAAAAGGCCCTTAAATATGTAGTCACAGGGAAAGGTATGTTAATACCATATGAAAGCTGTCATACCCGAGAAAGAAAACAGGATGCCAGGGCTGATACTGCATGGCCCTAACTAAATAAGAGAAAATAATATTCAGGGGTTAGGGCAGTCTAGCTTGTAGCAGCATCCTGATAAGGAAGAGATTTGTTCATGTGATCTTTGGGGTAGAAACCTGATCAAAAAAATTTGCAAGTGGCCCTGAAGAAGTACAATGAGATCCAACAAATTGTTGAGACTAATACATTTTCTCTTTTGAGGATTCCTAACTGAATGCTGAAAACTCCGCCCTCAGACACCATCTAATACCTGTCTTTGGCATAGTCCTACACACTTTAACCTAGCATGCCAAGTAAAAACTGGGGCCATGAGCATCCTTCCAACCGTGCCGATATCAGTGTCTACCAATGTCATGGTATTAAATCTATAGTAATAGCCTAGAAGAAGAATATACGGTCACCTTTCAACCTAGGTTTCCCCAAGACGTTTTAAATTAGGAATTGATAGCCTGGGAGAAGAAGGGTCAAACAAGGAATGTCATCACTCACTATTACTATCCATTTTGGTTTTGCCCCTCAGCTTGTGCCCCCCACTCCCGTCTCCAGGTTTGTGGGGGATAATTGCTTGTATACAACTTCTTGAATTCATCCTTCTTGCCAAATACTAAGACCCATGTGCAGGAAGTGGAACTGCTGTAGTCTAAGGGTGGGGAACCAAAGGAGAGTAATGCTGCTTTGCATTCAGCCAGATAGTCTGCCATTGAATAGGAAATTAGGAGCTCCAGGGAAAGTCAGCACTTTCCACTCTAGGGAGGAACAAAATGTCCCAGGAGTGACCTTTCTTACCAAAAACAATTCCACCTCTGGACCAACAAGGAGAGACTAAGATTGAGGAACTAGGAGACTTCAACTAGCTTCTTGCCCCCTTTTCCCTTAGACTATAGGAATTCTGATAATTTCAAGCAATTCTTAAAAATGGTCATTAGAACTGTGATTCAGTGACAGTATCTATAGAAAGTGACAAGTTTCCTCCTCCACCTCTTTAATACCTGTATCTAACAGCCTTCACCCTTCAGAGAAAGAATAGGGAAGGTCAGGACAGATATGGGAGGGGCTGACAAGTTAAAAGAAATTGTCCCTGAATTACACCAGAACATAAAAAGAAGATATTGAGGGATCAGAGGTCACAAGAAAGTTCAGCTGAGACTTACTTAACACCCAGGATCATTAGGAGAGCACCTTTATGACTATTTCACCTATTCTGACAGGGTCAGCCATGGGTCCTGGCTGAAGCCCAGAAACCTGGCGTGGCTCTGGCACGGGGCAAACCATGCTCTGCCAGGACGAGTCAGCAGTGCCTGTTACATAATAGCTGTCAAGCTCCTGCCCCTTTCTGCTCTCTTAAAGGGAGGAGGGAAGGAGAGGTCAATTTGTCTCCAAGTTCCAGCACTGTTCTAAGGTGTTTTATAAATTTTAGGGGCATATGATTTCATTCAACAAAGCTGAATTGGCCCACAGAAAACTGGGGAGACCCCCCCCACAGCCGCTCTGCCCTTCACAGGGTCACAGGGCTTTCCCCAAAGCCCAGGGACACGCTTTGGAAACAATGTCTTTTGTGCTGGGATTCCGGCCTAGGAGGGTCTATATACTGGCGGTCCGTGAGTGCCATCCAGACCCCATTACTAAGGTTCCCCTGCCCTTGCACCTGTCCCGACGCCAGTCAGGAAGTGTCAGGATCCCCACAATTCAGGTTGGGGTTGGGGAGCAGTCCCAAAGGGTGTCCTGTTCTGGGCTTACCTGGGAAAGGAGAAGCTGACCTGGGGGGGGCAGGGAGCTGGGTAGGGGGCGGCGGGAAAGGAGCGGCCCCCGCCCGGGCGAGAGGGGTCCCGTCGTACCTTGGCTTTGTTGAGCAGGAGCCCCACGAAGGTGGAGAGCAGCAGGGAGCGGGGGAGCGGGGCACGGGGCCGCAGCTCCTTCCCGAAGGCGGGGAAAGGGGCTGCGGGGGGCTCCTCGGGCAGGGTCACGGTGTACGAGGTGCGCATGCTGGGGGGCGGGCCGGCCGGCGGGGGTGCTCAGCGGCGCTCCGCTCCCCTCCCCCCACAGCCGTTAGCCGGCGGCGCGAGAGCCGGGCGGGGACACTCCGCTCGGAGGGCCCGGCGACCCTGGCGAGCGGGCGGCTCGCGCCGCTGACCGGTAACCGCTTCCGAGCCCCGCAGCGCCGCCCTCGTCAGGGTTCCCGCCGCTGCCGCCGCAGCAGCTCCCACTGGGATCACGAGACCCGCCCCCCACAACCTCCGCCGCCGCCTGCTTGGCAACTCGCGCAGCCAACCGATCGAGCGACTGTCGGACCCGAGCGGCCCGGAGGCTCGAGCCCGCTGACGTCACGGGGGGCGGGCCGGGGGCGGGCCGCGGTGGAGTGCGCGCGAGAGGGCCCCGGGGCTGGGGAGCGCGCGACCGCCCACCGGCTCGAGAGGCCGTTGTGGGGCGCTCGGCCTGCCAAGGCCTCCGCCTCGCGCGAGGCCCATGACGTGGGGGGGTGGGGGGGTGGCCTGGGCCTACACTAGGATTCCCCCCTCCCCAACCCTCTCTAGTTTTCCAGGCAGGGGGCACAGGCACAGAGTTTAGGGCTACAGGGGATCTCAAGAGGTCATTTAGTCCAACTCCCCTTTTACTGATGAAGAAACTGAGGCCCTTGCACAAGGTCACACAGATAGTAAGCATCGGAGCCAGGATTCGAGCGCGGCATTTAGTGTCTTGGAATCCCGCAAAGATAGGGTTAATTTTAGATGCCAAAAATGTGACCTGGAGGTAAAATGACAAAGCCACACAGAAAGGGCACAGCCAGCACGAGGGCTGTTGGAATCCTCAGTACTAGATCTAGCGCCTCTTCCACTATATTGGGGCCCGCCCGCAAAGGCAGTGCACTTACAGAATGGAGAAAAACCATCTTTTGCCATCACCAGGGAGAAATGCCCATGGTTTAGAAGCCTCCCACTTCCCCCAAACACCATACTTACCCTCATTAACCAGGGTCTCCCACATCTAGCATTAACATTTTATAAGCTACAAGCTGGTAGAGAGAAAATTTGAACCAAATAGCCCAAAGATATAAGTCAAGAATCTCAGTGGCTTTTTGCAGGGCAGAGGGTGGGTAAGAGACAGTTAAACTTTTCTGGGAAATGGATTTTCAGCTAAGTCACAAGCTGGTGTCTCATCTTCACAGTGGCCATAATCTCAGCCTGCATATTTCTTTGGGGCCTCCTGGTTCTAGAGAATTTTATCCCTGACTCTATATCCCTCCCCCTCGGTGCAGCACATGGACCTGCCTGGAGAAAGTATCTTGTTTGGAGCTTATAGGCTATATTTAGCAGCATTTAAAAATATTCAGAGAGGCAGCAGTGTGTGCTGTTACTCATCTGTGGGCTCCTTCTGTTCCTCTCATAAAAACAGGCCTGCTCATATTCACATGTACACAAATGGTGTCCACATGGCCATGGGCACATGGATAGTGTGTCCTGTACGCATGCATGGTGTGTACACTGTTC